ATCATGTCTCCACTACTAATGGACAATAGCTTGGGATACTTGTCTAAAAACTGTACTTTTTTTTTTAGAGACAGGATCTCTCTCTCTGTTGCCTAGGCTGGAGTGGAGTGGCACAATCATAGCTCATTGCAGCCTTGACTTCCAGGGCTCAAGTGATCCTCTTACCTCAGCCTCTGGAGTAGCTGGGATCGCAAGTGCACACCACCTCAAAAAACTGTACTTTTGGACAATGACTTTTGGTTAGTGTTTGTTTTGAACTCTGTAACTTAATAGTATGTGCATAATAAATAAATAAATAAATAATAGGCCATTAAACTTTTCCTGATTACTTTCAAGAAAGAATCTCAAGCTTGATTATAATGGTGGAGGAAGCTTCCATTTTAGAGAATAACTTGTTAGTCCTATGTAATTACATTCTGAGAGACAAGATTTGACTTTCAAGTCCTAAAAAGTCATTACCATGATGCTCTACTTTAGTCATGTAACTGCAAATTTGTAAGGGTTTTATTTTCTAAAAACAGGAAATCAAAAGGAATAAAGTACTAGCCAAATTGACAATGATTTCTTTAAATTTATGGGAAACACAGTGCCTATAGTTCATTATTTCAGTGAAACATTTGGTTTGTCTTGTCAATAACTATTAAATGGGGGTAATATATAAAGATGAAGAAGCATTTCATCTTTTTCAATCAGAAAAAGAAAATGCATTTATCTTGTGAATTACCTGTACTGTTTCATGCATAGCAGCTGTATTGCTGCCACACATCTGTGGAAACACAATATCAGCCAACTGTTAATCAAGGATCACTTCCCTTCAAAGTGACTGATGATCCACTGTTAAAACAGCTTATAAAAATAACTTCTTTGAAAAGGTGCTTTAGGGTTTTCAGATACATCTTACCAGTCCTGCTAGCTTAATGCATGTTTGAAAGCTAATTTCTCATTAATATTTAAAGAAGAAATGGCTTTCGAACAAAATTTAAATAATCAATTTTATTTTAGAAATACAACATTATTGGCATTATTTTCATTTCGATTACAAGGAGTGATAATGTCCAAGATTGGCTTTTAAAACTGTTAATGAGCCCTGGCAATGCGAAAAAGATATGGATTAGGTAGATGTAATGAGATATGATTAAAGGGTGCAGGCACTGAAGGGTGTTGGAGAAATTCTATTCAGAAAGCATATAATTAGTGTCTGATAAAAGTACTTAGTAGATAAGATTTTTGAAGAAGAAAGGTTAAGATAAACACATACTTTATGACAAATCTGCTTAATTTTTCCCCTTTGGTTCTCTTACATACTCAATATTATGTTGAAGTTTCATACATAAATAATGTTTGTCGAATACTTGATGCAATTCTACCAGACAATTAGAGTGTTTTAATTGCCAGACAGGAGAGAAGAAAATGTGTTGAAACATCTTATTCCATTTTCAGTGTACATTTCTTTGTTGATTTATGTAATGTAGCTAATAATATACAACCTATCCAGGTTTTAAACAAACAAATGAACTTCTAAAAAGCAAGCTTTCCATAAGTTGCTAAGCAACTCCAAAGGCACATTTTATTAGTTTAATAAATAACATTTAGATGAAGACAAATCCTTAAGAAGATTTCTAACTTTATTTTGTAAAAAGTAGAAAATCCAAGCAGGTACCCTTCTGATTTTCTTGTTTCTAAGGCCTCAGGGGTAGGCAAAGTTACTGGCATATTCAGAGTTATGTTTGTCTCACTAAGCAAAACATTTCTTACATTGAAATTGTTGCCATGATAAAAGTTAAGACCTGGGACTCACAGTGCAGCTCTCCAGAGTTGGAGCTCATGCTTCATTCCCATGACTGAGGGTTTTCCAAGCTCAGAAAAGCTGACATTTTGGGCATAGTAGTTTGTGGTTGTGGGGGTCCGTCCTGTGAATTTAACATGTTCAGCAATACACTGGTCCTCTATCTACCAGATGTCAGTAGTGGCCCCAGAGGTGCTGTAACTAAAAAATGTCTCCAGACATTGTGAAAAGTCTCCCAAGGGAGGGAAGGGACAAAAATCACCCCAGTTGAGAACGACTGCAATTGCATAAAGGGTAGATATGCTAAATGGAAAAAAAAAAAAAAAATCTAGAGCTTAACTGGTGATGAAGATATTTTGGGGTTAGTTGCCTTCTCTCAATGTCTAACATCCCCTATCACTATCAATAATGAAAAATAAGGGGTAGTACTGATTCCAGTGGTACTCTGGCTTTTGTTCTATGCGAGATTCATTCCTGATTTCATCATTTCAATGCAATCAATTGTATAAAAATTGAGAAGGGACGTAATGATAGCTCTGACTATAGCCATTCTCTAACAGTACTGCATTCCAGAACTGCACCAAAATCTTTTCTCCTGCAGTTTTCCCTATATTCAGTAGCTGGCTAGAATATGTATGTGTATACATATGTATGTATGTATGTATGTATGTATGTATGTATGTATGTATGTTATTGAGATAAAGTTTTGCTCTGTTGCCCAGGCTAGAGGGCAGTGGCGCGATCTCGGCTCGCTGTAGCCTCTGCCTCCCAGGTTCCAGCAATTCTCCTGCCTCAGCCTTCTGGGTAACTGGGATTACAGACACAAGCCACCATGCCCGGCTAATTTTTGTATTTTAAGTAGAGACAGGGTTTCGCCATGTTGGCCAGGCTAGTCTCGGACTCCTGACTTCAGGTGATCCGCCCACCTCTGCCTCCCAAACTGCTGGGATTACAGGCATGAGCCAGTGCGCCCAACCTATAATCATTTTTAAAATAAAACTCAATTTTAGTAATGTCATCCTCTGCTCATAGGGCCACCATGGGTCTTTATTACCTCTACTATCAAATAGAAACTCCTCTGAATGGTCTTTAAGTTTTCCTTCAATTTACCACCAAACTCCATCTCATCAAACATCTTTCTCATCTTTACTTATGCCCCCTTTACTCTTCTTACACACAATCAACTTGCATATTCCAATCTCCATGTGTGACATGTACAGGACAAATTCATTTCCTAAAGTTTTAATAATTATTCCTTCCTTTACTTCTTATCAATATCATACTCTATTCTAAGAATGACAGGACTGCAATTATTGTGAGGTAATTATTTACTGAATGCCTTCAATATGCCAGACACCGAATATGGTTTAGTAGCTGTTTCTATCAATTTACATTTCATTATTTTGCCCAACCAGATTGTAAGTTCCCAGAGGGTAGGAGCAGGTCTTATTTGTATCCCTCTGACACCTCTTAATAATGATGCTAATAAATATGCTTAAATTGACTTGCAACTATAACATTTCAAATTACTGTCACGATTACTAGCTCACTGGTTATATATTTTCAGTATTTCACAGTCAATGAACATGGGTCATTAAATGCTCTAGGGAACAGACTGTGGATTACACAACGGGTGCTCAGTAGATATGCATTTAATACATGATGAGCGATTGAATTCAGTCTCACAACTTCACAACTCTTAACTGGTTACAAAAAATTCTTTTGGCATTTAAAAACAAAAGTTATTATAGAGAACAAGAACTGCCGAATGAGGCAGAAGACACAACACGGAAGTGAATTAAACTATAATATAGCAGCAGGAAAAACAAAAGAGGAGTCTTAGTTTCTGCCTCAAATTCACTACCAGAATTTAAATTCATTTCATAAGGTCTTGACCTCTTATCAAATAAAGCTGTTTTAAAAGAAAGCAAAATGCTGGGCACAGTGGCTTATGCCTTTAATCCCAGCACTTTGGGAGGCTGAGGTGGGAGAGTCACTTGAGGTCAGGAGTTCAAAACCAGCCTGGCCAAAATGGCAAAAGCCAGTTTTTACTAAAAATACAAAAATCATCTGGGCATGGTGGTGCACACATATAAGCCCAGCTACTCAGGAGGCTGAGGCAGGAGAATGGCTTGAACCTGTGAGGCAGAGGTTGCAGTATGCCAAGATGGCACCACTGCACTCCAGCGTGGGTGAGAGTTGGTAAAACCCAAAAACCTAAGAATCACAGCATTTTACCTCGTATGTATAAAGAAGTTCAAGAAAATATTTTCAGCACAGGTGTGTTGGCTCAGGCCCGTAATCCCAACACTTTGGGAGGTCCAGGCAGGCATATCACCTGAGGTCAGGAATTCCAAACCAGCCTAGGCAACATAGTGAGAACCCCTCTGACAAATAATTAGCTGGGCGTGGTGGCAGGCGGCTGTAATCCCAGCTACTTGGGAGGTTGAGGCAGGAGAATTGCTTGAGCTAGGTAGGCAGAGGTTGCAGTGAAGTGAGATCGTGCCATTGCATTCCAGTCTGGGTAACAGGGCAAGACCCTGTTTCAGAAAAAACAAACAAACAACAAGCAAACAAAACTCTACATAGTTTTTTCAACAATTTTTGGTGATTTGCCCCACACCTGTTTGGGGGAGTCCCTAAATAAATAACACTTAAGTGCCTGTAAAAACCATGTATTTATTAACTTTTCAACTGAATTCAGCCAAACACAGAAGTCAACTGATTTGAGGATACCCGTTAACCCTAGGCACAATATGCCTAAAGACAGAATATCATTTATCCAGTAATTCTTTCAACATGTATTGCGTGCCTACTAAGTGCAGACACTGGCCTAGGACCTGGAGGCCTAAATCTCAGCTGCTGGTATGAATTTGTACAGGGAATTCAGAAAGGGGAAAGTGATCTGAAAAGCCAAAAAAGATTTGTCTTCAATGAGCCTTTTCTCTCCACCTCTAGCTTTCTCGACCCTCAAATCTATGGAAGTGAAAAAAACTAAAGGACGTTCAAATTTTAAAGAGAAATTAAAGAAACAAGTTTAGGATCCCAGCAGCCAACTGGAAGATAGTGAAAACAGCTCCCAACGCTATCCATCATCCATGTGACTGGGCGGAAGTGCAGGAGAGCAAGGGGGCCGGAAATGCAGGGCCCGGCGCGGGGGAGGGGAAGAGTCACGGCCCGCGAGGGTTGGAGACCGGAAGTGCAGGTTCTCCCGTGCGCGGGAGAATGTCCCTGGACAGGGCGTGACGCTAAACCTAGGTCGCACGAGGCCTCTCAGAGATTCCTCCCACCACAAAGCCCCATCACAGTACAGAAGGCTTTTTGCAAAATAGGAATTTCTCAGCTTTTCCGAAGAGGTTCCTAAATGTGGCTGTAACCCTGACGTGAGGTTTGTAGTGAAGGGTCCGCGCTCTTCTCGCAGGGTTTTCTTAGACGAATTGGCGTCCCCCAAACCGGACGGGGAAGGGAAGGGACCCCTGGGCCTGGAGCCACGCGGGTGGGGCCGGGAGTGCTGAACTGCCCGGCTAAATGCGGAGCGGCGCCCCCTCCCTGAAGACTAGGGGAAAGAGGGACGGGGTCCGGGCGGACGCGATCGCAGAAAGCGGTCATTCGGGGGCACCGGAGCTCCGGCGGAGGCACCGAAAATGTGGCTGTTGGAGTGGTTGGCAGTGGCGTTTATTGAAAGAGGGGCGCTTTATTCTCTCCTCCCTCCTTCCCCGAAGCCGGGGCGACTGGCGGCGATCAGGGCCGAGAACTGGCTCCGGCCTCTGCGGACGCCCGAGGCGCGGGTGGCGCTTTGTGAGAGGTCGCTGGGGCGAAAGGGGTGCGGGGACGTACGCAGGGGGGCTCTTTTCAAATTGAGTTGTTCAGAATAAGGCTGTCTTCAGTTTTTTATCTGGGGTATAGAAAAGAAGCTAGAAACTCGGAGTCTCTCTGTCTCTGCCCCAAATTAATTGAGAAATTGTCAGCTTGCCCTGCAAATGCACTTCTCTTTACCTCTCTCAATCTTTTTCTCCATTCTCTACCACAGAGTCGCTCCCGCCCCTACCTTCATCCCACACATTTCAAGAGTCCCCTATGTATTCTACAAAACACAAAACGACCATTTGAGCCACTTTAGTCCTTCTCAGCATTAGGTGACTGATTTACATCAGAATAAAACTAGAGTTTCTTGCAGGTCTTAATGTAATTAAAATGCACCATCCCTGTATGTTCCCAAAGGAGTAGGAGGAAAAGTGTTTGGACAGGGGACTGATCTTCAATAGGTCTTCACAGCTTGGTTTATACCATCACTTTTAAGCTCTCTTCCACCTAGTTGTCACTGAGAATTCGGTTTGAGAGGAAATGGCTTTCTAGACGATTTTTCATCTAGATGATTTTTCATCATATTCAACTAAGAGTCTTTCTCATCCTCTAGCTCTCTGAATGTCGAAAAATATAATAGAAACTCTGCATTGATTTCCAAAGTTCTGATTTCCAAAGGAGCCCTAACTGTCCTGTCCTGCCTACACTGCCTGCCCTCTAACATCCTGGGAATGGGAAATAACACTGGGATCGGTGGCGGCAGAACTGCGCACCCTAACAACTTCTGATTGTTGAAAGGGGGAGGGGAGAATGGAAGAGAGGAATGGAAAGGCAAAAGAAAAAACATTTGTGTTCATTTACACATTTCCTGTGCAGAACAAAAAAGTCCCACCATCAGCAAAAGAAGTCTCTTCCTCCAAAATAGCAGCCAAAGAGAGAAAATTAGAATATGCATAAAGTCTTTCATTTTCATTCGCACAGAGCACGATTTCCAATTTCCGGCAGATTTGTATTTAAACTGCTCGATTAATCCCAATTTCTGAACAGCATTTTACTTAGCATTTTCCCAAAACTCACCTAAAGAGTTATTACTCCCTTCCCATCACCCTGTTTGGGAGCCTCCCTTTTCCCTATTCTCTGACTGAGAATAAGAATTTCATTGATAAGACTGTAACTTTATTTTTCCTGTCCATTGTTTTCCTTTTAAAACTAGGCTGATGCATTGGACCACACTTGAATGCAAGCTGGTTGTTGTCTGTGAAGTCGCGACTGCAAACGAGAGCCTGTTGGAAAGGATATGTTTTTGAAATGTGTACCTAAAAGAGAATAAACATGATAGGGCCAATAGACTCTTGCAGATCCACTCATATCATCAAAACCTTTCCTATTCTACCCAGGTCATCTTTTCACCACTAGAAATAGCTGAGATGCTTGGACATAATCCACCCTCCAAACCTTTCCTTCCCTCACTCCTTTTGAGGAGCTTGATAGACAATCATAGAATCCTCTTCAAAGGAATATTCCTCTTCTTAAATATTCAGAGTGTCAGTCCATTAAATCTCCCTACAGCCCATTACTAAAATATTTTGCTTTGCCACTTGTGTAACAGATCTGGCTGTATCTGCCTTGAAATTTTCTTTGTTGGAAAAAATGTTATTGAGCTTCATTTGAATATCTTTTCTGAAATATCATCTCTTGACTTGGGCTTACGGCTCCTGCTTTTGAAACTGTATATGTTTATTTTACTTAGTAGTAGAATGTTAAAAGAATAAAATTACTACATATTGACTTACTGAAAAAAATAGATATCTTAATTCCATCAACCCCTACATTCCTCACTCTTGCACACCCCAAGACAGAAAGAACCCTTTATTTGATTCGTAATGTAATCTAAGCAAAATGTAGTGGTTCTGGCTTTCCTTCAGTGTTTGTAGATCACATATAAACCCCAATTATGATAGTCAAAAACTTAGAAATACTAATATTTGTTCCAGCTTTTCAGTTTCTGTAAAAAACATACATATTTGAACCATATGCAGCATAGTATATGTAATATAGGTGCATAAGCATTTAAATATATGGTTTAAGTATCTGGTTACCTAAACAGCCATTAAGATATTGGGATGTAGAAGCATATTAATTTTGTTAAATGGGTGCATAAACTGCATGTGTAATAGTGTCTGCATGACTTACTACTTTGAAATAACTGCTTTTATTGTTTCTGTCATGACAAAAGTATTACACAATTTATTTTAGTTGTGCATTTTTCTGTTGAGTTGGAGGTTCTCAGTTATATACCATTAAAACCAAAATGTTGGAAAATAAATTCTCAAAAGCCAGTTGGGAGTACATGTAACAGGATTGAAGGCCACATTTACTGGCAGTGCTGATTTCTTTTAATTTTCTTATTGAAACATATGATTGTTTCTTAACCACAGGAACAATTCAGACAAATAAGAAACTATCATAATAACAGAGTATTTTTCTTAAAATATTATTTTAATTAGAATTTTATTTTATATGGAAAGCTCCTATTTGATTTCAGGTTGCAGAACTGTACTTCCAGAAGAGTTGGAGTGAATTTAGTAGTTATGATTAGTGCAGTGAGAAGACTGGGGGTCTCACTGAAGAATAGATTGATATATAGTTACAGCCAGAGCTGTATTTCTCCCATTGCAGGCTTAGGCGAGATAAGCCTGAACATCACCTCAGAGAATTTATCATCAGAAATGAAAGCTCCTCATTCTTTGCTGATCTTTAGTGAAATAATATTCTCATGAACTGGAATTTTTTTCATACTTTTTACAATGAAAAGACTAGGAAGAAATGAAATGAACTAGGATTGTTCAGCCTCCCTGCCGTGAAAGGTGAAGAGACAGATGCATGGTACTACAGCAGGGAAGTTGCATTCTTTTTTTTTCCTTTTTTTTTTTTCTATCCCTCCCTTTCTTCCTTCAACTACTGCTTGGTTTTGGGATAGTGTGTATATGATTTTGAAGACAATATCTTCATTAAAATTTTCTAAAGGATAAAACTTGCTATTAATATTTATGCCTTTCTCTTTGTAATTTTTAAGGTGTACAGATCTTGCTTTTACATACATTACTAGGCTCTATTACTTTTCAAGAAAACAGAACAAAGAAAATATGTTCAACGGTTACTCTTCCTTGATCTAAAATTGTCCTTCTACAGCTAAGATCCTTCTCCATTTGGCCATAGCTGCTGGACTGCCAAAGAATTTCTGTCTCAGTCTCTGTTCTCTTCCATAATCACCCTTCTTCTCCTAACCAGCTTTCCTTCCCCCCTCACAAAAGAAGGAAGTTATAAAACAACCTGCTTTCACCTCAATATCTTCCTGATAAATATTGAGTCTAATTCCCTCCCAATCCGTTTTTTAATTTCATTCATTTTCTTTTTGGGGGGATAATGGTGCCTGGGGGTTCATGAGATGGGAAGAACATGGGGCTGAGAGGAGAGTTGGATTACTGCAGACACAGACTCACTGGCAGACACTTTCAAGCCTAGTCCTAGGAACTGGTGGCTGTGCTTTCACCTAAGCAATAAACCTTGGCAAGTTTACAGCTCACAAAAGCATTTTTCCCTTCTTCTGAAGAAATGGGCTGAGCTTTACTTGCCAGACCACCACCAGTTAGGAACATCTTTAACCTGCTCTCTTCCCTCCAGGTATACTCCCTTCACTTCATTATCCTCTTTATGTCTCTCTATCCCTAAAGGAATCAAGAGTTCATCCTGGGGGGTCTAATTCCTACTTCTTATGTCTTGCCCTATGGGCTGGCTTCCTTAGGGCCAGTGATCCCTTTGGACTCATAGGAACCTCAGTGACTCAGCCCTTCTCAAACTCCTCAGCTTTGTAAACTTGCTTCCCAAATAGGACAGCTTGCCCACTCACCAGCAGGGCTCCAGCCAGAAGGCACCTGGTCCTTTTACCCAAGAATCCCTTCACACGTCTGCCTCCGCACCCAGTTTCCCGCCCCCACCCGCCGGCCAAGGTTGGTTTATTTGGGAATGTCATCTGCAGGGCAGCATGTCTATAGCAATAAAGGGGAGTGGATACAAAAATTCTCAGTGCCATTAAAAAGACCTACCATATTAGACCAAGGGAGTCTCTATTAGGAAACTTGGGTTGGAATAGATCATCCATTTAACCAGTGAAACAAGAAATCAGAGAAATGCCTGACTGCAGCTGTGAACCACAAATTTCAGATAGAAATGGATTACATCTTCATCCTGTCAGCCAGATAAATTATTTTAAAATTGTTTCTGCTATTATTTGCATTATTATTATTAAGTTTATTTTTGTCATTATTGTAATTTTTGTTATTTATTTTTGTTGTTGTTGCAGCTATTATACTATTCAACAGAAGTTTAGAAAGATTAGTCAGATTAATTAGTTTATTGGTAATTTAAAGCTGAAAACCAGTAATTAAGCCAAAAACTAAAAATGATCAGGGATGATTCATACTAATGTAGGATTTGGGAAGAAGAGAACCTAAGTTTTGGACATAAAATTTGGCAGCTGTGAAATAAATAGGACTTGGGGATAAAAAAAATAACTGAAATTTTCTTAGTCATTCAATCACTCCCCCTCCCCCAAATGCAGCTAAGATTATTCTGTATTTGCTTGGTAGAGGAAAAAAAATTCTATTTGTTTTTGTTGACAGGGAACAAAGATCCCATGTATGTTCTTCATGTGATTTGCATTTTCATGTGGATTCCCTCTGCTCAGGACCAACCAAACATTTAAGATCACTCCCCTCCAAGTTTGACTCTTTTATCTCTTTGCTCTTGTTAGGCACCTCTCTGAAGAGGGTGCATCATATAAGACAGGTATACAATTTCAGCCCTCTCAGACATTCTGTGGAATACAAATTCAATAATGCAATTTTCTTCACAACATGCTCTGTTCTCTTTCAAATATAATTAATGTTTTGATAGTATAGTTCTTTAACTACATACATACACACAAAAACAGACATACCCTCTAGCTTTGCTGTTTGTGTATCTAAAGCAGAACTGGATGCAGGCCTTTGAGTGACTCCTAAAATTCCTCAACTCCAGCCCACAGAGAAGAAATCTGTTTAGGTAAAAACTGCACAGTCTGTTGCCTATCCAAAAATACGTAAAACAATTAAAAATTGTAAGCTCCTAGGATTTAATACTAATTTTTCTGTTAAATTTCCTAGAAAATAAAGGATATTCTGAATTGATAATTAGATACAGACATTTACTAGAGAACAGTTAAAATAAACAAAAACACTGTCCTAAAACCCTGGTTGTCTTTTCCAAGTTTTGATGATGGAAATTGAATTTCAAACTCTTCCAAATTGACAGATGTATAAAAACTAGCAACCACAATAACATAACTACAATGACTTACATTAAAAAATTGCTTACTCTATCAAATACCTCAGCTGTATAGTTTAGTTGAATTAACTCTCTTAATTGCTATCAGTTGTATATAGACATATTTGTATGTGAAATAGATGGTCCCAACAGACAGACACAGATATGTAGATCACATTATGGCCAATAGGAGTTAAGTGAGTAAATCCTGAGCTTCCACATTCAAGTGTACTATATCCCTAAAATTTCATTTCTTCAAATGGATTACAATTAAAAGAGAACAAATAACCTTGCAGATTGCAGGGAATCACATATTTTCTGTCTTTCATATAGAAAATATGTATTATGTAATGCTTAATCCAATAAAAATATAAGCTTTGGTCTCCCTATGTTGTTACTGAGTTGAAGCTAGATCTGTGGCACTAGAATACTGATTTCCAAGCATCATGGCCATTTTGTTTGAATTATGAATATATAAAAAATGCTGGTAGGGGAAATATGTGACACATTTCTTTCCACAGATTTTTTAGAGGGAATGTGTGAAAGATTTTATAAAAATCTTTTAAAGTTTTTTCTTAATCTTCATGTGATATTTAATGTTTGGAATTATTAAAGAAGATAAAAGAATCAATAAGGAAGGGAGAACACGCGACTGATTTCAAATAGGTCTTACTGAATGAGAACGAAAATATTTTCCAGTGCAGTTTTGCAAAAAAAGAGGGAGGGTATAATCAGTGAAAATCTCATTTGTATTTTTTTGTTATGATTTTAGATAATAGCCAACTAGGGTTCCTTTTCCATTACTTTGCTCCAAACTCTTTTCCTTGAAAGCATAAATGTGTAAACGACTTACACCTTTATTCTCTCACAGGCTAATACACAAACAACAAATATTTTCGTTAAATACTTGATAGAAAAAGCCCTTACAGGTCTACAAATTCAGTCTTAGTACAAGACTACATTACCAGTCCAGTTGTTTAGAT